TATATATATATGCGTGTGTGGACGCACTGTATGTAATTTATATACCCGCATGCATCTTCCTTTGGCACATTCTTCTTCTTTTTAACTATTTGAGCTGATGTAATGAGTAAATTTCTCCACTGTGAAATCAATAAATCAATATGTATATATATATATTAAAAGCTTTACAATGTATTTGGATTGTCTAAGACTTGCTAGGAAATATTTTCCAAATATTTGTCGAGATGTGTGTTCAAATTTTAATCTGTAATTTTGACCTTATTTTGTTGTACCATCATTCCAAAGTAAAAGCAAGAATGTTTCAAATGCATCATTAAAGGCAAATTGTAACTCATGCCAAAGAGAACATGGATATACACTTCTAAACGGCACTGTTCATTAAAATACAATGACTTAACAAAAAACAAATTGGTAGATCTAAGCAAAAAAATCCTAATTAAGTCTAAACAGTTTTTATTTAACAAACTGTATGCTATACATCTATATGTCAATATTTTGTTGAGCAGGTCTGGTCAGCTGTTGCTAGCAAACAGAACTATCAGGATACATTAGAGATTACTATTATGGTTCAAATGTAACTGAGAATCAACAAAAAGAGGATATTAATATAGATTAATATAGATTAATCTCCCTATGTTTTCTAACCAAACTGTTAAGAATAAACTAAACACAGATATTCATACAGCTTAACTCTTGGTACAGTTCAGCTCATGAAAGCTGTCCACTGGTGTCGGGCCTAAAGTACTTAGTGAAATGCACGTACCTCAGTAATGTTAGATAGAACAACTGCTTTGATTACTATTCCAAAGTTGAACACATGAATCTGCAAATGTTGTTTTTTACATTAAACTGAAAGGCTCTTAGAAGTAACAGAACTATAACATAACAGAGATAAAATATAATAAATTAGTATTTCTGTCTCAATTCTTTTTTTTTTTTTTTTTTTTTTTGATAAATGAAAAATTACCACCAAATTACTACAGACAGACATTAAAAGCATATGTGGACTTCTCCTCATAATGATTATTTCAGCATTTGGTGAAGCACTAAACAAGAGCACTAAACATGGAAAACAGAAAATAAAAATGTAATGTTCCACAGTTTATTGTGTCATATCTTTGCACAGTTTCAGTTAAACACTTTCTGATTAGTTGGCAAACAGCCGTTTGCCCAGGAGTCCTATGAAGTGAAACAAGCAGCAACAATTTTTCAGTTAGAAAAAGAGCCTGAGGGGTGAGGACAAGACAACACATGCCAGACAAAATATTTCATGTATCTACAACTATGTGTGTTTGGTAATAGCATGCAGTCGTCTATTAATCAAATAGACATAATTAACATTAAGATAATTAGTTCAGTGATTTTGCCAGAGTTCAATAAAACCAAGGGAAGCTTTGCATATAATATAATGCAACTTTATTTTTTATAATATTCTGTCGAGCGGTTCTTAATATTAACACTAGTAAGCCAGGCAAATAAAAACACTCTTTGTTGCAGAAGTTGTTACTGTAGAAAGAAAATAGTAAGATAGTCATTATCAGGGTCAGTGAGGAGATTGAAAACAGAGTTGCAGGAGTCAAAAAAGCTTTGTTTTCACCTTACCCTAACCTCAGGAGGGACTAGTTTGCTCTCAAGTTCATTAAAAAACTCTACAAGAACAAGAAACCTGATGTTGTTTTCGTTTGTTTTGCTTCCAAGTATTCATACTTCAAGAGAAGCTTAACTGCCAAACTTATAGAAAGTCCCCATCCACTATAGCTTACGTCGTGCCTGCCAAGAAAATGAACTATCCATTACATAGAAGAACAGATTGGTCACTATTGAAATTTTTTCACCTGAAATAAAGAAGGGAATCTGAATTTAAAAACAAAGGGGAAAATCATCTCTGCATTTCCTTCTTAACAACGCCCAATCAACAATCGGATACACAGAGAAAAAAGTTCTGCCCAGACGAGTCAATGTGTATTTTTCATTTTAGGTTTCTTTTATAAAAACATCTATCTAAGAATTTTTTGTAAATCTCAGCTCAAGTAAATATCTACATTCTAAAGGGGCTTAAAGAACACTGCTCAGTATAGTATGCAATTATGCCATTTTCACTATGAGACGCTAAAGGCAACCTAAAATGTTATGTGCATAACTTTTTTTTGTTGTAAATTATTAAAACTAAATTTGACACCATATTCTCTCTCTCTTTCAAACACTCACATGTTGGGACATAGTCCTGGCAAAATCTACATCAGCGAGTCCACGTTAATAAAAACTGTAAATCTGCCACAATTATCAAGTCATTACATCTCTGGTTGTCTGCACCTTGTGAACTCCAGGGGTTTTCCTTCAATCAAGGTGCTCAGATTTTTACTCTTCTATTAGACAACCCTAAGTAATCACTATGACCTAATAGTGTAATAGTGCAATATTAAAGATTAACATTTGGTAATAAGATGAAACTGATATTCAGGAGAAACACAAATTTCTGGCTGATTAACACAAGCCTGTCTGTTTTTCCCCTGCTGACCAACAGATGGGGCTATTGCAAAGCAAATGAAGAAGTGGAGAAGAAAATCAACAGATAAAAAATGCTAAGAGCAGAAGGGAGGATGAAGGTTTCTGTATCTTTTCCCTACCTTCATAGTTTTTCACTCAGTGCATTAGCAAAACTTATCGTAGACACTGAGGGGAAACAACAGACTAATGTGTTCAGGGACTCTGTCGCTGCCTTGAAACTAATGAGACAAAAGAGGAGCTAATCATACTGTCAGGAGTTTGCTCTAAAACATTGAGATGTCAAAGGAGTCCAACATGGAGGAGACTAGCTGGGCGTCTTATTTTCTCAAAAAGATGCTAAAAACAAAAACAGAGGCACATACCAGCCGTGTTGCTGAGAGGATTTGAAGAGTGCATTAAGACACAACAGTGTTGCCATGGCAGCAAGCATGGACGATCGGTTTTTATAATTGGAATAATCCCACGTAAATAAACTTAATCTACCTTTACTTCAATCTTTAATCTGCTGTGGCAAAATGAGAACATTTTGGCCTGTAGTCGACGCTTGAGAGCAACCCCTCCCTGTTTTTAAGGTCGGTCAGATGCAGGCACAGCAAAGGAAGCAGTTTGGAGAAGCAAGGACAGACACACACTGGGGAAGAGCAAGATTCATCTAAGCTTCTCAATCGTGAAATAATGATTAAGAGGTGGGATGGAAAGGTGAGATGGTTGTGAGGAATTTGAGGGGAGATTTTGGAAAAAAGGTATTTGGGGGGTGGAGGTGTTCCAACTTACCAGAGAGCTGTTGGACCCCAGGCTGATCATGTGTGCTTAACAACTGGCTTTGAATTGTCTCGACTACTCGCTTAAAACGTCGGCTTGGACCTGCACACAAGTAAGGCGAAAACATTGGATTAATAAACCTAAAGTTATTGTCTAGGTCCTGAGTTCATAGATTGTAGCTAGTTCACTTCGATCATCCACTCTAGTAGGAAAATGAGCTGAAAAGGAAAGCAAAAAGCAGCACATTATCTGAGTGACGTATGGATATCATAAGTAAAACTAGTGTTTCCCCACAAACACAAGTGAAAATGTCTGCTTATTTAACCAGAATTCAACATGGAAAACACTACTGTAGAACAAGAAAAGAAAAATACTTACAGTAATAAGGAGCCATTATTCTTTGCTGAAACCTTATATACATGCCGGCAGTCTGCTATATAATCTCAAGGTCTGAACTTTTTACTTTACAGTTTACCTGGCTGCAATTGACAGTTTCAGGATAAAACTGTCAATTAGTTTTTAGATTGCTTTTATCAGTTGCCATTCATAATAATTCAAGGTTAATCTCATTTTTCACTCTTACCCAAATCTCATTTTAAACTCTAGACACATTTACAGTTAGATAATTTTAAATAAATAATTTTGAAATGATCTCAGGTGTTGTTTTTCATAAGGTTGCTCTCACACATTAAATGTGGAAGATTAGATTATACTATTTTATTTGTCTATAAGTTTAGGGCTAAGGTGGCTTCTACGAATCATACTGGTGCAGTCCTACTCATTGAAGTGAAAGAGACAGAAAGGGGGTGAGAGAAAGCATGCATCTGTTTCTGCACAACTAAGCATTCACACATGACTGCTCCGTATGTAATCTTGCATTTCCAGACATCGTTTTGTTAAACTCAGGGCGGTTAGTAGAAAATCTTATCAAGCACTCGGGGTGGCAGGAACTCCACAAAACTCTCAGGCAGTCGCTCATTCCGCCAGCAACTTTGGACAAATAAAATCCCCTCCAGGTTTATGTATTTGGTGCTTTGTAAAAAATTGCAGTTTAATGCAATCAGTTTAAAGAGAGACTGGATTGTACTCACACACGTATGTGTATATATGTATATATATATTCATACACACATGGGTAGAAAACCAGAAACTAGATTTTAACAAGGATCAATTGGAGTTTATGTAATTTACTTGGAACCTGTATGTAAGATTGAACTGCAGCCACTTTACTTTGGTAAAGTTCCTTCAGAATAAAAATTTCATTTCTGTGGGGAAAAAGGAATGATATTATGGTGAATTTCACCCAATATTATTTCCTAGTCTCTCACTGTATAATTTAACTCTCATCTCTTAGAATTGCCCCAACTCATCTAGGCAAGGCAAATGTTGCTTAACAGCGTGGTCTTAAATCTGACCATCTACTGACCATTGGAAGCAAGTTTGATGTGTGCAGAAAAACCCTCACCTGAGAGCAGAGTAAAGGTTACAGAATAGATGCCGTTTTCTTTCGTGGCAGCTGTACTCTCCGTGTAGGTGATGTCGACCTGAAACTTAACCGGCTTCTGGAAGACTGTAGGGCCGGCCGTGGACTTGTACTCTGCTCGAAAACTTGTTTGGGAGATGACACTGTGACTCAGGCTGGGGATCTGGGAGAGAAAGATAGAAAATGACAAAGAGGACAGACAAGTACAGAACGAAAAGCTTAGTAACAAAAGCAGGTAATGGGATTATAAATAGAAAAAAGTGATGTCATCTTCTATCGCCCTACCATGCAAATGACAGAATGAATGAGGCCTCATTAAAATACCCTCCACATACCATGAGCCCCAGTCTAAACTTTAAGAAGATTAATGCCTCAGGGAGTACCCATGTGTGCCAGAGAGACTTAAGCTAATATAATCTGGAGTCATCCAAAACATGGCACTCTTCCTCCAAAAATGAATTTTTATGCCCAACGAACAGGTGAGCTCAGAAATTGTCATGTTTTGCCACAGTGCTGAGGAGGCTTTGACATTCCATTAATGTGAGTGTGCTCTGAGGTATAATTCCTCTGATTCAGCTGCCAATCTCCTGTCTGGAATACCAGCTTGCGTAACCCCGAGTAGAAAATAGCTGCCTTCGGGGAAGGGGAAACAGATCTGACATTGACCTGCGGCAGCAAAGCTGCATTTACGTAGACTTTGTTAAATCTTAGTAGGGTGAGGATGGGTTCTGTTCAGTTATGTTCAGTGAATATCAACTAATTCAGCTGCATGTTTGGACCAAACTGGTTCTTTTTATGTTACCCCCTCCTCACCATTACTAAAGTAAAATACAGACACAATCTACAAGCATCTCATGCATTGCACTCATGTAATTAAGCCTGCGCTCATTTTAAGTCATGATGTAGAAGCAAATTTATCTGTATAGAAATTATTAATGCTGGGTGTATTTTATATTGATATATATGTACATGTGTATGCACATAAACATATCCTCATTGTAATTAGGTGCCTTTTGAAGCAGTATTTAATGTCTTGCACCAATTAGAGGCAGCAGACTTATTCCTTTCTTCAGTACAACGACAATAATGCTCTAAAATAAATAATGAGCTGAAATTTAACTATGAATACAAATGGTTCACTAAAATACAAATTAAATAGTAACCACCCCCACATCCACACCTACTCAAACACCAAACACAAATATAGATGCAGAAAGCAGAGACAGACCAACGAGTGTTACGCTTACCGAAAGGAAGGCTTGTACGATGTCTGCCTTGATGGAGCTGAGAGGTTTGTCTTTGATGACAATAAAGATCTGCTCTTCTTTTTCCAAGTTAATGAAGTTACCAAACCAGGATTTTTTGGCAAGTCTAAGAGAAAGAAAAGTAAGTTATTCCAGTTCTTCATTTTTCAAAACCTTGGCATATTTAAATGTTATGAGTTATGACACTACCCCAAAGTCTTGTTCTTTCCATTTATCAGAATTCTTTGTTCTTCAGTGTCAACACAAATGCTCACTCAATGGTGAGTTTATTACTTTCATTTTTCTGTAGTCGAGTTAGCGTTAGCTCGCATGACCGGCTCCGTGATGCTGGCTTTCCTTCAGTAGGAGCGCCACAAGCTTCACGTCACATGACTAAGAAAACGTAACGGGATTGGCTGGGTGTTGGACACCACAATCCATTGCTAATGTCTGTCACCTGAAGTAACCCTTGCCTTTTTACACTGAATTTAGACGCCGAATTTAAGACAGTGGAATAGAGCCAGTTGAATCCCAGGAGGCTGAAAATATTGAGTTTGAATTTTGAAAGGAATTTTTTTATATGCATATTTTTTTAACACTGAAAAATTAAACTGAAAAATAAGTATTGAAAATGTAATCATGTTGGAATAGTAATGTGAATTTTTAGCTTGAAGAGAAAATAAATGAAATTTCAACTGTGTACAATGATAATTAATTTTTTTTGGTCGAAAATGTGTTCTGAATATATTTTAACACTGAAACAGTAAGTACAAACATACAACATTTAAATTTCAGTGGCATTTTTAATTAAAATCTCAGCGTCACATATTTGCTTCCATAAAATGCCACTTTTAACATAATCCATCAAGAATGTCAAAAGTCTAAGAGACAGCACTACAAACACACAATCAGTAAAAAGACCATTTTACCAGTCGATACTAAAGTAGATGGGATTTGAAATATGGCAGCTGAGGTTTAGTTAAATTTAAGGCTCTTATTGTTAAAGAAATTCGATTTTATGTTTAGGTTCTGTTTAATGTGTCTCTCAGTAACGATTCAGATTGCTTCAGACAAAAAAGAAAAATAATTTTGACATTTCTCCACTCAGCAAATTGAGTAGCAATAAGGCCTGGATAGGGAAGATCCACATGAAATATATTGAGTAATTTCATTGTCTTAATTTACTATCTAATTTTGGTATTGTGCAACCTAAATATAGCGCACTTTGGCCTACATTTGAAGTTAAATCGCTAACAATTAAAATATATAAACATACAAACATACTTTGCATGAAATACATCCTTTAAAATTTTAGATTTGCAGGTTTTTTTTTCAAAGCAGGTGGATATGAGGAAACCATACAGCAGTCAGACAGCCAGCAAAGCAACCATATCTAGGCCAACCTTGAGTAATCAGGCCCACAGGAGTTTGGCAACATCACACAAGCTGACACCCCAACCATTTCCAACACCCTTCCTCATAAACCACTACCCTTATTACCATGAAACATCTCCAACCTACACAGAACCTAAGGTCATCCCCGCAAACTCAGCAGGCAAATATCAAACATTTATGGATGCTACATTTTTCAAATAATTGTGCTATCAAACCAGTTTAAATCAGGCACCAAAAGGCTTGCAGGTTATGAATACGTATATCAGGAGGTCTCCACTTACTCTGGGGAAGACTCTGGTGTGAGACTGGACATCTCCTCTTGCGTAGGAACTGTGAAATGCAGAAACAGTAAATCAGTAGGGCTGTACTAGATCAGTAGAAAGAGCATTAAAAACACTCAATAAAATTTAAAATCTATTCTAAAATAGACAGGCAGTGGATGGAGGTTACAGCAGGGCTGATGTGCTCACATCTGGAGGATACATAAAACATGTACAGCAATAGTTTGGACTAACTGAGCAATGCAGCATAAAAAGTGTTACGGTAGCTATGTTTACATGGAGATCGGATCGAAGACCTTATCAGATGAAAAATGTGTCATATAAACATTAGTCGGGATATTCT